GTCACCATCAGTCAGAAGGAATCCTGTTGTAAGGATCAAAAAGTCAAAGCTGCTAAGTACATTGGCTGCACCATTTCCCTTCTCTGGGTCTTGTACATATTGATACATTTCATTTTCTTTGTGAATCCACTCATCCAAAGTTATTGTAACAATGTGACAGGAAAACAAGATTTTGGACACTGCTCTATTGCAGGGCGGGATGGAATCAGTGACTCACTCTATGCAGCATTGGTGGTGTGCCCTGAAATCTGCTTTTCATTGCTCATGGCCAGGTCTAGTGGCTCCCTGATTGTCTTTCTTTACAAAAACAAACAGAGGTGGTTCCAGCAGGACCTCCCCTGAGTCCAAAGCCACCCAGAACATCCTGGCACTGGTGTCTACCTTTCTGGCTTTTTATACTGTCTCTGCTATCTTACAAGGCTGTTTGGCTCTTTTGTATAATCCTAGTTGGTGGCTGGTGAACACCAATCGTGTCACTTCTCTGTGTTTTCCTTGTTTTGGACCCTTTCTTCTTATTAATCATTACTCCATGGTTTCAAGACTCAGTTTCGTCTGTATGAGGAATAGAAACTCAATTATTCTTAAATAAATGATAGAGTTTCTGTGGTATCCACTTGTTTTTCACCCATCTCCCTCACAAAGTCAGAACTGAATGTTAAGTAGGTAGTACCCTGTTGTCTACTACTAATGCAAATTATATGACTCAGAGTTTTGTCAGCTGGTTGACTTAGCTGTCCACATTAGCCTTTCCCCCTGTATGAGGAAGATTTCACTCTTCAACTTTCAGCATCAAGGGTTCCCTTTGTCAAAATGATGTGCAAAGACTTAGCAAAATGTTCTCCATCAAGCTTTCCTTCTTCTGGCTTTCATTTGTCCAAGGCATGCTGAGTGTTGGTTACTTCACAGAAATCATATTGGTCATAAAATCCATGTGCAAAGAAAACTAATACAGTGGCTGGGCAGGAAGTTGGGATTCAGGAGTCCCCTGTTTATTTACAACTGTTCTAGTCTTCAGCAGTACCAGAAAATTTCTTCAATCTTAACTTCCTACATACCCCACTCTCAGCTGCTATAGAGGCAATCATATTAGCTTGCTCTAAGCTGGTACCAACAGTCTTCACCATCTCCAAACAGAGCACCTCCCGAGACCACGTATTGAAAAACTATTATCCATACCTTTTACCTCATGCAGAAATTGAGTGCAAATAAATGGTGGTTTCAATGTCATCTATATTTTTCTTTGCCAATATTTCTGAGAAATTTTGAATCTATGTTCATCATGGAGATTAGAATATAAATTACTGTTTTTAATTTTGTGTTGTTATCTGGTTTGGCAGCAGTGTAATGTGGATTTCATTAATAAAGTTTGGAACATATTTGGCATATACATTATGGAAATCAGTTTTCAGGGTTCTCAAAACAATAAATAGAGCTGATATATTTCCTAACTTTTACACTCAAGGGAATATATTCAGAAACCTCCATTTATTTCCATAGATATTTCTGCCCATCCATGTTTATTGCTACTCTAGTTACATGCAAATTGAGCCCACATTTATAACCATGAATATAGAAATCTATAATCGAATTTGTGCTTACATATGAAATGGTATACTATTAAAATATTGTTAGACATGAAATCACAAAATTGTAGAAAAATTGATGGCCTTATGATGAATAAGATTAATCCAGGTATTACAAACTCAGAAAACAAATCACATGTTCTCTTCCTATAAGATGTGACTCTCCATATGTGTATAGGTGAGTGCAACTTTACTATCAGGTTTCCAAACGAGACAAGGAAAAATAATGTTAGGTAATAGTAGGGAAATTAATTCATGAGTTATGGAAGAAGATATCAAGAAAATTATTTTTTCTATTTTCAATTCAGCCATTATTTTCATCCTGTGGTGGAAAAGGGCAAGAAAATGTAATTGATAGAAACATTATGAAAACATGAGGAATGCTGCATGGCGTCATCTTAGCTCTCTGAAATATATAGATCTAAATTGAAATAAACTGATTTTGGAGCTGGCCAAGTTTTCTTTTCTTTTCTCCATTTTTTAGTTCAATTAGAAACAAAATTATTTTACATGTCAATCCCAGTTCCCTCTCCCTCCCTCCTCCAATGCAACCCACTGAATCCCTACACATCCCATGCAATTTCTGCTCTCTAGGGAGGGTGAGGCCTTCTATAAGGAGGTTCTTCAGAGTCTGTCATATCCTTTTGCATAGCATCTAAGCCCTCCCCCATGTGTCTAGACTCAGGGGGTATCACTCTCTGTGGAATGACCTCCCAAAGTCCATTCCTGTGCAATGGATAAGTACTGATCTACTACAAGAGCCCCCATAGATTTCTGAGGCTTCCTCACTGACAACCACATCCATGGGGCCTGGATCAATCCCATGCTGGTTTCCCAGCTATCAGTCTGGAAACCAAGACTTCCCCCTTTTCATCTCCCTTTTTCAGGTCAGCAATTTCTTTGGATTTAACCAGGCTGTTCTTGACCCCTTTGCTCATCACTTCTTG